CCACCAGGAGTCCGGAGTGTGGACGCCAAAGGTAAAGAGACGCTGTACAACTTGGAGTCTTTGATCAACCAGGCTGTGTTTCCAGGACTGCAGGGAGGACCACACAACCATGCTATAGCAGGTACTATTATTATTATTACGACTACTTTTATGAAGCTTTCATTTTGACATCTGCAGCTAGGCCTGTCAGAGTAATAGATTTTACTGGATGATAAATTGTCACAGACGTTACTCTGACACCTGGTAGTAATGTTATTTTATCATATATATTAATAATGGCATAATAACGGGAGTTCACAATAAACGTTAACTTTGTCACTGAGTTGATGTCCGTCCCCGGCAGGTGTTGCCGTGGCTCTGAAACAAGCCTTGACTCCAGAGTTCAAGGCTTACCAGCTGCAGGTTCTCGCTAACTGCAAAGCCCTGTCCAGTTCCCTCATGGACCTCGGCTACAAGATCGTCACCGGTAGGCGACGCACGCGACGATTTTACTGTGGCGGATCAATGTGATGCCAGTGGGAAGTTTGTCTTTGCCGCGTCCTGCACAGGCGGTTCTGACAACCACTTGATCCTGCTGGACCTTCGCAACAAAGGAACGGACGGCGGACGAGCTGAGAAGGTCTTGGAGGCCTGCGCCGTCGCCTGCAACAAGAACACCTGTCCAGGTCAGAGAGGTTTAAACTGGTGGATTAGTTAAAGGGGTAATATTTAGCCAAATTGTTTTCATGTTATCATGTTATTCCCCCATCAAAAACATACCCGAGTGTTGCCTTGATTCTTTATTAATGTTTGAAAAAAAAATCCTCTGGTGTCCTGTGGCAACCTTTTGGCTGTGCAAAACACCCTGGTCAACCTGACTCTGCCTTCGAGGTGCAGCTCCTCCTCAGAGCTGCCTTTTCCAAGTTTCCATGACTCCACCACTCTGCTCCTTCAGACTAGCCAGCAGCAATCAGCAAACACCTGGTTGAGCTGTGCATCAGCTGAGGTCATTTTACAGACTACTTCTCAATGAAACGCTGGTTAATAAAAAAAATTAAACAAAAAACCTTGTTAAAGGGTTTATAGAGGAGCCACATTGTGATGACTTTCTGAAGACCAACTTTAGAAACAGCAGGAGTTTTTAAAGAGACAGAGGCCCAATTTCAATGCGTTAAATTACAAAGTCAAATTTCTTTTAAGTCATAGTTGACATACAGCATTTTTATAGCTTCTGAAGTTGACATAGTGCTACAAACGGAAATGAAAACACATAATTTTGACCCTTTAAATTGGTTAAATTAATTTAATTCTGTTTCTCGGGGTCATTTGGTAATCATCTGACCTACGTGTTCTTCGTAGGCGATAAGAGCGCTCTGCGTCCGAGCGGTCTGAGGTTTGGCTCTCCGGCTCTGACCTCCAGAGGAATGGTAGAGGACGACTTCAAGAAGGTGGCCCACTTCATTCATAGAGGTAATGTGAACTACAAAGGTTTCTTTCATTATTTTAATCACCAAGAGACAAGAGATGTCCGCCATAACAAATATTTTAAAAAGTAAGCTATTTGGGGCGGTCTCTCCCTGCAGCTATTGAGCTGACCTTGGAAGTGCAGAGAAGTCTGGACCCCAAGGCCACCCTGAAGGAGTTCGTCCAGGCGTTGGCTCAGGGAGAGAAGTTCCAGCAGCGGGTGTCAGAGGTCAGGGCGGAGGTGGAGGCCTTCGCCGGGCGGTTCCCCATCCCAGGCCTCCCTGAGCTGTAGAGCGGAAAGCTTCCCTCTCCTTCCTGCTCCGATCAAGATGACTTCAACATGTTCCCACGACTCCAGCCGTTCCCTTTTCTCGACGGGGGAGAAACATTTTACCTTTTCATTTGCCGTTGTTACGAAGCTCCGCTGTTCTAAATGTGATTGTCCTGACGACGTTAGTGTTGTCAAGACTTTCCATCTGGTGTTTGTCAAACTGTTCCAGCTTGAATCACTGATATGGATCCATTTTTTACTCATTTAGGTGTATATGATTTTATTGTATGACTTAAGAAATAGGTCAATAGTGCTGCATTCAATTAAGTTAAATTACAATTAATTAAAGAAGAGTGACAGTTTATGTCTGTTTTTTTAATTTTAAATGTCATTTGCTCTGACTTTAAAAATAAAGCAAATTTCTATCAAGAGAATGGGTTAAATGTAATGAGTCAAACAATATATATATATATATATATATATATATATATATATATATATATTATATATATATATATATATATATATATATATATATATGGCGAACCAACCAGACATCATCGTAGTGGACAAACATCAGAGGAAAGCCGTTGTGGTAGATGTAGCAATACCAAGTGATTGCAACATCAGGAAAAAGGAGCACGAGAAACTGGAGAAATACCAGGGCCTCAGGGAAGAACTGGAGAGGGCCTGGAAGGTGAAGACCACAGTGGTGCCTGTGGTCATCGGGGCCCTCGGGCAGTAACCCCCAAACTGGAGCAGTGGCTACAACAGATCCCAGGAACAACATCAGACATCTCAGTCCAGAAATGTGCAGTCCTTGGCACAGCCAAGATACTGCGCAGAACCCTCAAGCTCCCAGGCCTCTGGTAGAGGACCCGAGCTCAGAGGATAAGAACCACCCGCGGTGGGTGAGAAGGGAATTTTATATGGGTATATATATGTATATATACATATATGTGTATATATATGTATATGCCGGTATTTGATTAAAAACGCTGCTATTTGTAAACACTTTATGAATCATCAATAAGTGTTTCTCATGAGATAATTAAGGGTGATAAAAGAACAAACCAGACATTGCCAAAAAATCTGTTCTATATTGACAACGTTTAGAAATATTCGCTGTGCTCACAGGATAACTTGGCCTGAAATAAGTGGCAATAAAGACAAGAACAAACAGACTAAAAACAATGTTTCTACCCGAGTTATTGTCGCCCAGAACCCCCCAAAAATTCATCTAAATCCTGATCAATCGTCATTTGCTTAGTGCAATATCAACCGATGTCAGGAGCGATGTTTCTGTATTCTCAGTTGTTTCTGTTGTTTTGACTTTTTCTTCTGTTTTCGCATTCCTTTGGAGAGCTGATTTTTATTTTTATTGTTTTTTTTTACTTATTTTATTGTGCTTTCTTGTACAATGACGGTAAAAAAATTATCATTTTAATTCCAGATGGTGAATTTAGCAACTATGAAATATTTAGAGATGAATATGTTTGGTTTTTCTATTTGATTAAAAAGAAGAAAAAAAACTGCCAGTTTCTTTTCTTTTTCTCACCCTTAATTAATCCACAAGAATTGCTTTTTTTCTTTACACATTGCTCAACAGGAATGTTTGATTAAACCACATTTATGCTTTAAAATTTCAACGACATAATTTTCGTCCACTTTTCCACAGTTATTATTCGTTTTGTCAGTGACACAAAATCCATTTTAGTTTGTGGCGGTGACAAAATGTGAAAAAGTCCATTAAGTACAAAAGATGCTGCAAAACATCACAAAATATAGTGCTTCTTTGTGACTGGATGTGAATTTGATTCCTTTATGCTTCCTGATCGCATCCTGAGATTGTTTAGGACTAATTTATGAACAGATTGCTTTCCTTTGTTTTGCAGAAAATGTCAATTATTCCTCTTGTGAGCTTGACAGTAAGCAAAACGGTACAGTTTCAGGCAGATTAAGCAGAGTTTAGTGAGATGGACACGAGGAAATAAACAATGCTCGATACCCGCCCCACCCTGAAGATCCAAGGAGATCCCACAGCATCACCTGGTTACATGTCAGACACTCCCACAGCACAGGTAGGCCTGGATAAGTAATCGCCTGGCACCTGGAAGAGATTTACTTCTTTTGAATTCACACGACAGACAAGACAGACAGGAAAGAAAGGAGCGGTGTGTTCAAGGGCATCATCTTTTTGTTGGCATTCTGTGTCCAACTGCACCGTCGGCAGAGAAAGAGTCTCATCAGGGGGTAAGAGGATATTTAAAAAAAAAAAAAAGAATTTGCTAAAATATAAATTATTTTATAATAATTGTTTATAATTATCGCAGTGAGGTCACAGCTTGCCTTCATACAGAGCAGAAACAGAAACCACAACACATGCTGGTGTGTTTGTTTTTTCTTTTTGCATCAATTAAACCTAAAACAATGAAATCAAAAGGCGTCTCCATCGTTTTGGTCAGAAGGATTCGTGACGTCTGTCCATGAAATACATTAGCTTCTCAGAGCTGACGTTTGCACAAGCAAGTAGAAATGATAACCCCCCCAAAAAACCAAACAAGTTTCAGTTTTGATACATTACAAGTTATTGGAGTGAGGGCTTTGGTCAATTTAATTTCATTTGTTTTTGTGGCTCTTTGTCTCATTTTTGCTCCTCTGCTGCTCACATTTGTGATGAGTCACATTTGTCCTGAGTTAGCGGACAAAAACTGACGGCTGTAATTTAAGATCTCTGGTTGTTTTTTTCTTGTGTCTTGTTTTGTTTTCCTCTGGTGAGCTTTTTGAGCGGACTAATTTGTAAATTGCTACCTGTCAACTACACGACGAGCAGGTGCACGGCAAAGTGCTGAATCATTGGTGAGCCAAACAACAACTGTGGACTTCATGATTTATTGCCATTAATGACTCCCATAAACAATAAAGGTATGACTTTAGTTTATAGCAAAATAATAAACTACAAAACGAATAAAAAAAAAGAAAACCAGTTCAGCTTTACTAAAACGTTTAAGCCACCAGATTGTGGTTTGTTACAAAAAAACCATAAAACTGATGAAGCTGTATGAACCTATTAAGGTTTCCTAAGTAGTTGCAAAGGAAATACAACAAGAAATATTAAAGAAATAAACATTTGGATCAATATAAAAGTTTTCTGACAACAGAAAGGATCTAATTATCTTAAAACTACTTGAGGGTCTGTCAGATTTTCATGTATTTTGTTGATCACAGGGATAAGAATGTTACTTATTGTTTATATTTCTACCGTTTAAGCAGAAAAGCAGCAGCTATGCATCGACCAAACGGCAACCCTGTGAATAAAGACAGGTGGCAATCACACCAGGAAATGATGGTGGAGCCTCTGGAGATCAACGACTCAGAAGTTCGTCTTCACGGGATTTTGAATGGACGGTCTGTATCTCTATGAATTAGATAGATATTGGACTGTTTTTTTTTTTTTTAGGTGTTTTCTATCATAAAAAAGGAGAAGCACAAGCAGATGAACGGTCTGGAGCTGATAGCGTCTGAGAACTTCACCAGCAGAGCCGTCCTGGAGGCCCTTGGCTCCTGTTTGACCAACAAGTACTCTAAAGGGTTTCCTGGTCAGAGGTACATTTCCTGTTCATGCTGTTAGAGGCTCACGTTACGGTAGATTTGATTTTATCATGCAATAAATATAGGAGTACTGCATCTGCTTAGCTTCTACTACAAAGGGCTGGAGTACAATGACGAACTGGAGACACTCTGTCAGAGGAGGGCACTGGAGGTCTTCGGTTTGGACTCCGAGAAATGGGGAGTGAACGTGCGGCCATACTCGGGTATGAAATCCTGATCGACCCGCTTCTAAGATTTGCTCTACCGTCGTCACACGTGTCTGTTTCACTTCGCTCACAGGGTCCCCTGCTAACTTTGCGGTCTACACGGCCGTCGTGGAGCCACATGGTCGGATCATGGGCCTCGACCTTCCCGACGGGGGTCACCTGTCGCACGGCTTCATGACCGGTGGGAAGAAAATATCTGCAACGTCCATCTTCTTTGAAACTATGCCGTACAAGGTTTGAGTTCAGACCTTATTTTTTTTTTCTTAACAATTAGACAATTAAATAGGAGAAGGTTTCTCACAGTTCAATCGATTGTGTGATATGTACTTGGACAGAGTACAAGCCACAATCCTCAGATTCCTTAAAAGTTGTGATAATTTGCAGGTCTTGCAGCAGTTAAATGAGATCAAATTTCCTCATAGGTTAACTTAACGTGTGGCCATAAATTAAATTAGGATGTGTTCATAAATGTAGCAACATAGCAATTAACAACAATCTGTTCTGATGCCATATTGCTATAGTTTCTTAAAAATTCAAAATGCAAACGTAAGACAGACGATTTATGTGTCTTAACCTGTCGGGTGCTGCAATTGCTGCTAGGTGAATCCAGAAACCGGCTACATTGATTATGATAAACTCCAAGAAACCGCACGGCTGTTTCACCCCAAGCTCATCATTGCAGGTAATTTACACACACACACACACACACACACACACACACACACACACACACACACACACACACACACACACACACACACACACACACACACACACACACACACACACACAGAGTGAGTGTGTGTGTGTGTCTTCTGTCTTACTTCACTTCTTCACCTTTTTTGGTTCCACTTTTCAAGGAACAACCTGCTATTCCCGTAATCTTGACTACGCCCGCTTGAAGCAGATCGCCCAGGAGAACGGCGCCTATCTGATGGGGGACATGGCTCACATCGGCGGGCTGGTGGCAGCCGGGGTCGTGCCCTCGCCCTTTGATCACTGTGACATCGTCACGACGACCACTCACAAAAGTTTGCGAGGTTGCCGTGGTGGACTCATCTTTTATCGGAAAGGCAGGAAAGACCCAAAACACTTGAAAACAACTTATAGCAAGCGATTTAACGCTGATACCTCTCTGCTTTAAAGGTTTTTTTTCTGTTTCTCTGATGGACTCTCCCTTTTCTCCAGGAGAACAGAGTGTGGACACCAACGGCAAAAAGACGCTGTACAACTTGGAGTTTTTGATCAACCAGGCTGTGTTTCCAGGGCTGCAGGGAGGGCCACACAACAATGCGATTGCTGGTACAATTTTTATCAATATCATTTGGCTTTAATGGCAGCAGCAGCAGCAGCGCCGTCAGTGAGTTGATGTCCGTCCCCGGCAGGTGTTGCCGTGGCTCTGAAACAAGCCTTGACTCCAGAGTTCAAGGCTTACCAGCTGCAGGTTCTCGCTAACTGCAAAGCCCTGTCCAGTTCCCTCATGGACCTCGGATACACGATCGTCACCGGTAGGCGTCGCACACGTATTGGGCCAATTAGAAACATCCAGGCAGAAATTATTTTTTATTTTTACAGCAATGGGAGACGCTTCCAACCAATTCTATTTACTTTCATGTCTTTGTTTAGATCAGGGATGTCCTTGTCCAGTCCTGGAGAGCTACCACCCTGCATCCTGTGTAGATGCTTCCCTTCTCCAATATGAACATTAATAAAATGGCTAAATTCCTCCATTATCATGTTCTTCATCTCCACAAAGGCCTGATAGCAAGTGATTCATTTGAATCAGTTCTGTTAAAGAACAAATGCATCTAATAGGTGCAGAAAAGTAGCACTACAAGGACTGGAGTCTTTTGGTCAAGACAATACATTTTCTATTATTGCAAGTAATTGAAGTAAAAGGGAGTTTGTATAGCGGGGTTTTATGCATGGATCTGGACCTTTTGCTGCTGTTTGTTGCTCCCTGTACAGGCGGTTCTGACAATCACCTAATCCTGATGGACTTGCGCAATAAAGAAATGGATGGAGTACGAGCTGAGAAGGTCTTGCAAGCCTGCGCGATTTCTTGCAACAAGAACACCTGTCTTGGTATTCCGTAAACGATTATATATTATTCTATAAATAACACGAGAGCAACCACCTCTGCACTCACCTATTGATACGCAAAGGCAATTTGGAGAGATTAATAAACCTATCGCGGAAAACCACTTTTTCAGTCTGTGTATATTTATATATAGCGTTTCCAAAGAGAGAGAGAGAGGGAAAAAACACAATGCAGAAAAAATATAAGCAAAAAAAAAAAAAAAAAAAAAAAAAAAAAAAATATATATATATATATATATATATATATATATATATATATATATATATATATATATATATATATATATATATATATAGCAAAAGAAGAAAAAAAAGAGACAAACTAGTACAGAAATAGTTAATATTTAAATTCTGTAAGAGGGCAGCAGGAAAAGCAGGGACTGCTAAGTCATTTACATTCTGTTAATGTAATCAAAAAAGCAGTTTTCCAAAAAAAAAAAAACTCAACAAAATCTTTAAATTGGTCTGTACAAAATGATGTTTGAAAACTGCACTAAAAAGATAATTGCATACATAAAATATAAAAGTGATTTTTCTCTTCTTATTTTTTCCTCTGTAGGAGTGACTGGTGCTTTGCTTCCAAGCGGTCTGAGGTTTGGCTCTCCAGCTCTGTCCTCCAGAGGTTTGGTAGAGGAAGACTTCAAAAAAGTGGCTCATTTTATTCACAGAGGTGAAATTGAGTAGTAAAAAGGAGAGGTTTTTTTATACAATATTTAAGTATAAGGCTCACCGTACTTTCTCCCTGCAGGTATTGAGCTGACCTTGGAAGTGCAGAGAAGTCTGCATCCCCAGGCCTCCCTGAAGGAGTTCGTCCAGGCGTTGGCTCAGGGAGGGAAGTTCCAGCAGCGGGTGTCAGAGGTCAGGGCGGAGGTGGAGGCCTTCGCCGGGCGGTTCCCCATGCCGGGCCTCCCTGAGCTGTAGGCACTCAAGCAGAGTCGCTGCTCAAATCCAGACACTCGATTATGTCTTTAAACATTTGGTGGCCATTTTTTCCCTTTGTTGTTTTGTACAGGTGAAGTTTCGGTTGTTGTGAATATGAAATCATGTTGGGGAGGAAGCAGTGAGAGAATCCACAACCAAATTGGGAGCTGATTGACGAATATTCCCATTCACCAGTTGTATTTACATGTTGATTTGTACCAGATTCATTTTATGACTGATTTTTATTTCAGGTACCAAAAGTTTCCATCTGTTATGGGATGTTTTCTAGTCACCAAGGTGTCTTTTTTTTTTCTTCTTTACTAATTATGTCAATTGCATTTTTTTCATAATCTGCTAGTCTACAGTCGGTGAACTGGGTAACACGATTACAGGTTTCTCTCATACTATATAATAGTCGACTCACTCAAGCAATAAACCACAATCAGTTGGACGGGGTTGGATACAAAATTTTATGTGGAGCTGTTTTATTTATTTGGCATAGAGACAAGCTTAAATGTTGTAGCAAAACGTTTTGACACTGCGGCTATGAAGACGGTGCAACTGAGTAAATCACTAATATAATGTCACTTCTGAATTGTTTTCACAGTGATGAAGTGTTGACATGCTATTATGGGAAATAATGCAATGTAATAGTTTAAAAAGAGAGAGAGACAATTCTGGATGTAAATAATGCAAAAGAATTTCACAAATAAACCAATGTTGTTGCAATCTTTAAATAAAAATATAGACAAAAACAAGCAAGTGTTAAGTTTTTTAAATATGAAAGCGTATGAAGATGCTTATGCTGTGTTAGATTTAAAGAAATTTGAATTGTGAAATAAAAATTTTAAATCATTTTACTTATTCTGTTAACTTCAAGTCATAATACTTTAATTTGAGCAAACTGATCATAATTGCAGCTTATTCATGTGGCTGGTGATTTTCTATAATAGGAAGATCTTAAGCTAACGGAAAAGGTTAAGAGAAGTATGCAAACAGCCTTTGTATTTACATAATTATCAAAGAATTTTAGCTTGGGTGAACATTGAAAATTGTGGCAACTTCTGTAACATTATATTTTTATTGTTTTCCCTGTCTTAAAGGACTTTCTGAAAACATCGATGCCAGAAATGAAAACGTCTCGTGAGCGAGACGCTCTGCGGTCGACAGTAACGACTCGCGCATCGATTTGTGCTGCCTGCGTCCGGTGCGCGCGCCTCCTCACACGGAGCGAGAAGCCGTCCGATAACAAAAACACTAACAGCTACGAGCCATGTTCATGTTTCCAGGCCGTTTTTGACGCGCAGAAGCCACAACCCAAAACAACGTCGATGGTTCGCGGTGGTTGCTCGCTCGTCGGTCAGCCTAGCTAACCCCTTTTTAGCTGCCAGAGACTGGTCAGCTACTAGCTAGCAGGGTTCGGTTGCGGGCTAGCTTAACGGAAAACTAACCGTACAGTTGTTTGAGTTTGAAAAAGCTGCAAACGGACGCAGACATGCAGGAGTTACTGGCCAACGTGGACCACATCAAGTTTGACCTGGAGTTTGCTGTGGAGCAGCAGCTCGGCGCGCAGCCTCTTCCTTTCCCCGGCATGGATAGTAAGTGCCCCCGTGCTAACCGCTGCTAGCCGCTTGTGTGTATGAACCACTGGAGGAGCTAGCAGACGCTGAACTCCCAAGTTGGACGCACATGTTCTCCGTGTGATGATCTGTGTCTGCTTTCAGAGTCCGGCTCAGCTGTGTGTGAGTTCTTCATGAGGGGAGCTTGCATGAAAGGTAAGGGAACCGGGTGTTGCGCTCGCAGCTCGGCCACCATTAGAGTCCTCTGTTCACGAATCTAACCTCAGCAGCTCTGACATCTTAACAGCTGTTCTGTTAAGTGTTCTGGATTGTAAATCCTTCTTGGATCATTTATAAAATATGGGGAAAAAACATCTGAATATGGAGTAAAAATACTGTGCAGTGAGGGCAAAATTTCAACATAAACACATTATGGTTTACATGGGAAGGTGATGCCGCCCCCTCTTCTCCCCCCCAACCTCTCAAGGCACCTGGGGATCCAACGGAATGTGCAACGGATTTGGTTCATTTAAAATGTACATCAAATTTAAACATCAAAAAGACAGGCTTAACATTTACTGACAGTAAAAGCTGAGCAACAGTAAAGTTGCACAGATATATTAAAAATTGAGTTTTGTAAATATGCCTGTAGGAGGGAAAAAAAGGCAAATAATTTTATCGATATAAGCATGACACTATAGACTTATCAGTACAATAGTTGGGGTTGGAATCATATTTTTTTTCTGCGTGATGAGCTGTAATCCCTCGGGTTGCATTTTGCAGGCGGGATGTGTCCGTTCCGTCACATCAGCGGAGAGAAGACGGTGGTGTGTAAACACTGGCTCAGAGGCCTGTGCAAGAAGGGAGACCAGTGCGAGTTTCTCCACGAGTACGACATGACCAAGATGCCCGAGTGCTACTTCTACTCGAAATTCGGTTGGTTTGCGCTTGCGTTTCAAATTTGTCGGGTCACCAACTGTCTGATGCCAATGAGTGCATTTCCACCCTCAGGAGAGTGCAGCAACAAGGAGTGTCCCTTCCTGCATATTGATCCAGAGTCAAAGATCAAAGACTGTCCGTGGTACGACCGAGGATTCTGTAAACACGGTGAGGTCCAGTTGTCCCTTGGAGAACTTTTGGTGCTTTTCCCATCCTTCCATCCATTTTCTCACGCCTCAGTGGGTTTTATTGTGATTACGAGTGATAGACCAACCCAAAAGCTCACACAATTAGGAAAGAGCCATGAAACAAAAGCTGGAGAGATTCCCAGCTCCTGTGTGGTAGTTTGTTGGCAGGACAACTATTAGTTAGGGTGGGAGAGCCGCCACCTACAGAGGACTGGTTTAAATTAAAACAGAGTTCAGATCTAAATCCCGTTGAGAGTCTTGTGGTAAGACTTGGAAAACTAGTTTGAGTTTGTGGCTGCATCCCGACTAAATGTGTAAATACTCATGAGACATGAAGATGTTTGCAGAGTGCCCAGAAATCTTGACATTATTTTAGAGATTTCTCCATTAATTTTGTGCAACTCTTTTCTGCCTCAGGTCCCGACTGCAGACACAGACACACACGGCGGGTGATCTGTGTAAACTACCTGGTGGGCTTCTGTCCTGAAGGGAAAGCCTGTAAATTTATGCAGTAAGTCCACCACTGTGTTACAGTTTGACATCTGTCACATCTTTTATTCCTTTTAAATAAAGATTAAATTTCATTTTAAAGTGTTTTTTTTTATATACATATTTTCAAATCTGACCTGTTTCATAGATTTAAAAGGTAATATGAATATTTTTTCTAACAGTCCTCGGTTTGAGCTGCCAATGGGAACGTCCGAACAGCCTCCGCTGCCACAACAAGCACAAATTCAGACCAAGGTAACGTGACGCATACGTGAATATGCACTCGCTTGTTAGAAAGCCTGCCATAAAACAGCTGGGCTAATATCTAGCTTTAAATTGCAGATACCTGACTAAATCCGTCTGACTCTTGCTTCAGCCCGTTCGCTCGCTGCCGCTGTTGTTGATTTGCCAGAGTTTGTTTCTCGTTGCAGGCTGCGTCTGTCAACCGCTCATCGCTCTCTCTCATCCAGCTGACCAACACCAGTCCCATCCAGCGGCCGCAGAACAACATCAACTCTGGAGTTCAGCAGAACCACATGTCTGTCAACAGAGGGCCTCGGCCTCTGGACCAGGTCACCTGCTACAAGGTGAGGCGTCGCATTGAATCTCCCTGTGGCAAAAAGTGTAACTAGGATAACTTCTCGTGTCTTGTGTGAAAAACTGATTCAGGGACTGGGATGAACCTTTTGGGTTTTGTAATAAAATTTGAATGTTAAAGCTTTGTTCGTGTAGAAATGTCCTAGATGTCCTAAGTGACATAGTTTTAGCTTCACCTGGTTCAAGTTTTGCAAAAACTTATATTAATTGGTCAATTAATAATATATTTCATTCATTATGCCCTTTACATTGTTAGATCTCAAAGGACAGGAAACAAGAACAAAACAAGCAATTGTAATGGATTAAAAAAACAAAATAAATAAATAAACTAAATGAATGCTGTTACTGAATTTTTTGGCAGTATTTTTCTTTTCCCAAAAAAACTAAAACATAATTGAGTTATTTGTATCCTTAACATATTTCTAAAAGGCTCAAGTGGTTAAATGGAAAATCTGCAGAATTTGCCCGTTTTTTCTAAACGTCAAAATGATTCATTACTGAAATTTTTGGTTAGTCGCAGCCCTGATTTAATCACCGAACCTTTTGTTTTGTCTGTCGGCAGTGTGGAGAGAAGGGCCACTACGCCAACAAATGTAATAAGGGTCACCTTGCCTTCCTGAGCGGACAGTAGCCTTCAGCCTCCAGGGTTTAAATCCAACATGGACACCAGGCGGCCCGGACGTCACAGCGGCTGAAGGCAGGGCGCCTCCGAGACCTCCGGCTTCTCCACCCAGAGACGGACCCGGGAACACGGAGAAACGGGCAGAACGAACGCAAAACTAAACTACTCCCGTTTACTGCCACATGGAAAAAGACACCAACGAATGAGTTCAGGACACAAAACAAGATTTATGTTGCAGAAGAGAAAAGGGCTGATGTATAACATTCATTTTTTTTTTTTAAACTGGACAAACAACTTTGTAAAATGGAGAAATTAAATGAAGATGTCCTGTTAACAGCATCTATACGAGCGTATTACCATCACTTTATTACTGTACGTCTCAGGCCATGTGACTGCACCAGCATTCTGCTGCCCTAATGTCTGACTGCAGACATAGGCGGCAGCAGGAACCAGGCCGCCTCTTCCGCGGACGTCAGAGGCGGCCTCGGACCGAGCCTCGGCGGTACGGATCAGCTTTTGTTCACAGCCAACTAATGCAGTCTGGATTTAATGTCTGTACCAAATAAATGCTGTTTTTTTTTTTTTTTTGTCAAACCTCGAGGTTTTGCTGCACAGGAAACGACGCTCTCGCGTGTTTATATACTTTTTATTGGTCACAACAGTCACATTTTACTAACACAATATAGTTGAGCATATAACGAGCGAGGGGAGATGCTGGTTCGACCCCTGACGGCGTGATGGCTGCTGGAGGCGCTCAGTGGTACTTCCTCCAGCGGTCGTGCTCTTTTGGAAAACGAACGAAAGCAAAATATTAGCAGTAAATATTGCCGTGTTGATGTATGAGAAACGTACAAGTTGCATCTTTCTTACTGATGTGATCGTACTGCCACACGTAGCTGAGGATCACGTATCCAAACAGAAACATGGAGATGCCACCAATGCCTCCCTTCTTCACATTGATGTACTTGTTGTAGTACCTCTCATAGCCTGGAAAAGGACAGTTGAAAGTTAACTCTTAAAAAAAAAGAATTGGGCTGATAACATTAACCATTGACTGCAATATTTGGTAGGCAGAGGCCAAACATTCAAACTGTTCAAAAACACATTTGGCCAATTGGATGAATTACTAGGAAAACGAATATTATTTATGAATATTGTAACAAAAATCTGTTATGATTAACTCACATTTCCCAGACAATTTTCATCATTTTTCTAAACTACAATCAGGTCAGTCACTAAAACCATATATACATCCTGGTGCAGTGAAAGTTTGTAAGAGCCTGCATGCATTAATGAGGCTTCCCGCAGTGTTTTGTAAGCCTGGCGGGCCACCAGGCTTTACTAGTGCCCCCTCCAGGCTAAGCGTCGCTTATTTATTGAAGTATTTTTAAAATGTTTGCACTTTTTAAGACTTTATTGTTGGTGTCAGGTGTTAATCTTTCAATAACATAACTATAGAGTCATATGTTCAATTCGAAACCTTTTAACTGAAAAACACGATGGGCCGCTGGACGAATGAGTGCCACAGTGCCGTAACCGCCGGCTTTGCAAGTTTCCTGGGGGAAACCTTGCTTTACAGTGTCTACATGCAAAATGTACATGCGTGACATTTGAAATGTGCCAAATGTTTAATCTGAGCAGCTTTTTGCAACTGTTATATTGCAAATACTGGTATTACAAGGCTGCATGCGATTCAGTGTGTTGCACATCTTTATCAGAGTAAAAAGTGAAGAATTTGGGGCACAATTAACATAAATGTGTTTTTTAAGACGACCAGTGGTAAAGTTAAAAAATATGAATGCAAAATCACCGCACCGTTGCTTATGACCCCCTAGACCAGATAAGAACTGGTATCATGCAAACAGTCAGTAATTTCCTAAACATTTCCTTTTTTGATGAAAATGGGAGGCGGATTCTTGCAGATGAGTGAGTGATACGGAGTCTGCTCCTGGCCGGCTCACCTCCGTGGACCCCTCTGACGAGTCCGCTTGGGGTCCAGCTTCGACCTGCGAGCCATCTTGGCAACTCTGTCAGCTTCACATCCATCAGGCGCTTCTCGACAACTGGAACTGAGCAGCAGGGCGGACATGACAACACAGTAAGGAACCGCGGGACACTCCAACTATTTAAATTTTCATAAAACCACATCCAAAACTTTAGCTTCGATTCGTTTAGCTAACCTTAAAAGGCCTTTATGTACAACAAACCCGCGGTTAAAAGCGCGTCATCCCAAAGGAAAATATATATTTTGTGTGTTTCGTGACTATGAAGGCTATCGGTTGATAGAAGTTGACATTTTCAATGTAGCTGCAGCTGACGAGCAAAGTCCTTGACGTGAGTCAAAGGATTCAGCGCGGCCTTCGGTCCGAAACACTCGCGGACTGAGTGTTTCGGCAATAAATCACCACCGAAACGAGAAATTAATCAAAACAGCAGCGGAAACAGTGGCTGTATACACACAACAAAGCGTATAAAGTATATGAAATAACGGTTAGTACAGCAGAGGACACGCAAAACTACCTGGTTTGTCCGCCATCTTGACCGGTGCAGGAAGGGTTGCAGCGGGGAATGATGGGAATAAAAGGAAGGAAATGCATTGTGGGACATGGAGTCATAAGTTGAGTTCCCCGTAAGCTGCTGCGAACAATAACTTATGTATTTTTGACCGCAGAATACTGTCATAAAGTAAAAATAAATATCGGGAGGCTGCTGAAAAGATGATAAACAACAAAATATATCTTAAGATACAATAGCTGAATAAAATACATATATTCATTGATTAAAATGATTTTTATTTTCAGGCAAAGCAAACACAAGTGAACAATAAATCAAACGACAAAGCCGTCTGAGACAAAGAGGTTTAATCAAATAAATAAAAAGATATACATTATAAAGATAAAAGTACCGCACATTGGCTAGATTGTCAACAAATTTTGCCGTTTCCTCACAAGTCCACGGAAGCAGTCTTACACAAGCTGGGTCAAAATGTGTTTTTGAAATTTGCCAGAAATAAATTAACCGCACCACATCAGCATCTCAGAACTATTATTATTATTATTATTATTATTATTATTATTATTATTATTATTGGAAGCACAATACATGGCTCGCCAACAGAAAAACTGCTTAGGGCTCATGACGTGGAAAAAGAGTCACTGGTAAAGAACCAAATGTTAAAATATAAAACAGATCGTTGTTGCAATTTTTAACGTGTCCACCGGATGGCAGCAGAAGAGACTTGAATCATTTATTCCTATTAATCAGTGTTTTTAACAGATTCGTCTTCTGATTTTTTTGTTTATATCCTATTATTATTATTATTATTATTATTATTATTATTATTATTATTATTATTATTATTATTATTATTATTATTATTATTATTATTATTATCATCTTTTAAAGCTGCCCTGCCATTAAAAATAATGTTCGTGACCTGTCCATGTCCTGAGGACGGCCTTGTGGATCTGAATGAGATTTTTTACATCATGTAAATTTATATGTTTTGTAAATGTTTAAAGACTGAGAAATCAGGTGGAGCCTCAGTGAAAATATCATTATCTTGTCTAAACTCTCAGTGACGACCCGTTTGTTTTTAGCGTGGTATTTCCATGATTCCTAGCCTTCTAAAAAGTCTCTGAGTTTATTGGGAAGAGAAATTCACAGTATCTCACGTCCTCCACCCAACATTGGCCATAAGCTGCTTTTCCGCATACTTGTCTTTTGTTTCACATCAAAACCATGTGATGAGCATTTTTTTGTGAGGTCTCTTGTTATGGTAGCATATCTTTTTTGTGAAAGAGATTCGTGCGTAATGTGTTTTGAAGGACAAGTGATTCATTTTGTTTTGCATTTTGCTACACATTTTGTTTGTATATCTTTTGTGCTTCATTGAAAATGCTAAACACTTTCCAAAGAGTTTGAATCAAGGGCTTTCATTGTTTTTCAAAACAAAATTGCATTCACAAATTTGCTGCAAACGGAAACTGGGACTTACAGGATTTATATGGGACATAAAGAAGCCTAAACAGGCAACAAAACACAGTTTAGTGCCTTGTTCCATTTTTTTTATCTCCCTTACTGAAGGAACACCTCTCCCCTTAAATAACAGCAGGTTTGATAATAAGTACTTTTTAAAATAACGACCTGAAGGATTTACAATGTTGGTGTCTCCTGAGGCTCAGTCAGAGGAATCATTTTTCTTGTGGCAAAAATAAATAAATAAATAAAAAATCAATTAACGTTGAGCTCAACAGCCTGCAGCACTGATACAAAATGTTCCCCAAGATATAGCTGTGCAGAGTAGGGCCTGTTTGCGTGTGTGTGTGTGTGTGTGTGTGTGTGTGTGTGTGTGTGTGTGTGTGTGTGTGTGTGTGTGTGTGTGTGAGAGAGAGAGAGAGAGAAAGAGAGAGCAGCAGAGGTAATGTAGAGCTCCTGTCCCAGCTCAATGCAACCGCTAATCAATAACCTCAGTCCACCACACACACACACAGTGAGTAGGTGTGTGTGTGTGAGTGAGTGAGTCTGAAACGGGCCCTCATCCAAGAATCACCACTAACCTCTCTGTTTTATTAGACAGTTTTTTCCTGCTTCCCTTTAACGACGTCCATCCAATGGATGAGACCAAGTTTCCTGATAAACACAGAAAAGGAGCCAAGAAAAGAAAAAAAACCCCACAAATTAACGATGCTCTGTTTCAATTGTAAATAAAGATTCTAAAAGCGTTATTTTATTAATTTTGCATTTCAAATTTGTCTTCATCAAAAAAAAATCCCAAAACAAAACAAAAGCAAACATGGATTTTATACACGTAAAGATCCAGACAAATATGTTGGCACCTCTGGCAGCAGAATCTCACTCTCAAAAAACTTTTCTTTTAACATATCAATTGTTTTTTTTTTAAATCACAATTTATTAAAGCAATTGTTGTCACTCCTAAAATGCACACAGTTTTAATTGTATTTAAAAAAAAAAAAAATTTTCTCACTTATACAATATTTTTTTAAGTTGACCTTTGAGGAACCTTTAATTTGTGCATCACAAGTTCCTGTTTCCCAGGGGTAGACTTATGATGTGACTCTGAAAATGACCCTGGTTTCTGTTGGTGCACAATCAACAGGATACTAAATAAATAAATGAATAAATGAAATCACAGCAACACGTGGGGTTTTGGAGTAACTCAGTCTCCATGATGACCATTAGACGCCACTGTCTTCACGCCGCCTTGTCTTCTCCTCTCATTACAAACATAAACGTGGCGTTTTCTTTCCTAGGCTGGGATTTTTAGATCCCTCCTTCTGCATGTGCCTCTTATGAAATATTATAGGAGAAGAGGAGATGCCGTATTTACAAAATGTGGCTACATAAAGATTTAGAAGCAGCCAATCAGAGGCAAGAGGAGGGTCTTAGCGCTGTCAATCAAGCTCACCCACCCTAAACCGACACAAACGCAGAGAAGAATCGGGCCAGCTGCAAACTCCGACCCGATCCGCCCCGCAGCACAGACTCTAATAAAATGTCCAGAAAGGTCAGCAGAGACTCAGTGACACGACCTCGTCCAGTACAGGAGCGAGTTCACCTGCAGGTTTATTGGTTTTACTTGCCGCAGCGCTCCCATAACGCTCCACTGGACTGCAGAGGAGGCTGAGCTGCAAAACTAACACACTCAGGAAAAAAAAAAAAAAACAGGAAAAGAAAAGAAAAAAGGCTTCTCCTTCTTTCTTTCCATCTCAAGAGGCAGACGCCCTCGAGGTCTGCCACTGAGACGGCTCTTTGAAGCTGATGGAGAGGGACGGAGGGAGAGGCGGGTGGAAGGGTGTGTGCGGGGATGGAGAGGGTGAAAAGAAAGGACGGGGATGAAAGACGCTGGCAGGGGAGACAAAGTGATGGACACTGATTAAGGACAAATGAGAGAAAAGAGGAGTGAATAGAGACCATATCTGCACACTGCTCTCTAATCTGTATTCGTCCTTTGTCTATTCCCCTTTTCAACAGCCTTTTTGTTCTCTTCATTTACGGATTGTGGCCACGAAAATGTCCTTTTCACGTCACCGTCCTTCCCATCCTGGGGTTTGTCCTTCTGTCTGGCAGAACGACAGGCTTCAAGCAGACCGGACCGGGCAGGAGGGACGGTTTCTCGGCTGGACACCGGAGGATTGTCCTCATATTGTCAGAGACATGAGGATCAATAAAACAGATACAGGAGCTCAGCAGTCTGCAGAGAGTCCCGGAGGAAAGCCAGTATCAGAGCACTGATAACCCCCGTTTCCTGCCCTGACAGAAACTCTGCGTCGTGACTCAAACACACAACTTCTAGGACTTAGCCGCTCTCACCGAACGTCCTCTGCCCTCTTCGTTTATTTCTCGTTAAATGAAGCAGAAGCTGGTTCTTATGTCCTCTGTGCCATACTTTCTGCGAGAGGAAAGTTTTCTGTGTAAACACAGGAAAAACTATGGCCGAATATGGAAACGAGTGAAGCAGCAAACCTGAGCTTCAAATGAGGAAAGTGTGTGAATTTATAGGACTTTTTGAGCCGTTCAAGTCAAGTTTGTTGGTTCAAAACCAGCAAGGCCTGGTGGTGTGGAAACATCCATCCATCCATCCATCCATCCATCCATCCATCCATCCATCCATCCATCCATCCATCCATCCATCCATCCATCCATCCATCCATCCATCCATCCATCCATCCATCCATTCATTCATCCAATCATTCATTGCAGCTGTTTCTGTGTTTCAGACATAAATAATAACTTCAGTCTTTTCCTCGCAGCCCAGAACAGATCAGAGCCAAACAAAACAACAGTGTGTATTTACAGTGAGTCTCTTCCAAAAGCTCAGGGCATTCTTCAGCTTTTATGGTCTCTCCGAGTGGCTGTGTGTGTGTGTGTGTGTGTGTGTGTGTGTGTGTGTGTGTGTGTGTGTGTGTGTGTGGGTGTGTGTGTGTGTGTGTGTGTGTGTACAAGTATCCCTGTGTTCGCTGCGTTGGTTTCATTATTGTTATTGTCGTCGTTTCTCAGCGATCAGAAAATATTCAGATATAATTTGAACCGATGCGTTTGTTCAGTCGGGCACATGCAGCAGAACAGATCTTTCTGCTTTGCATTTTCCAAGTGTGTTTATGGTTACCAAACTGTGTGTCTTCTTCACTCCTATCAGAAAAGACCCACAACAAAATACTGATTTGATGTTTTATTTTACCCACAATCTAAATGACAATGACAGTAACTTCCTCACTTTGATGGACTGATTCCCACCTGTCTGACCCGCCCGACAGTCAAATACTGAATATTAAATGTAAATGAAGGATAAAGCAGCATCTTGTCATGTGAAGAGTTTGTTTGTGGAGCATTTAGTGTTTTTACTTTCTCTCTGCATGTCTCCCACTCCATCCTATTTACCTCAGTGTTTCTGAAGGCTTTGGGTAAGTCTCATTTCTCCCCTTGGTGCCTCCACTTGCCTTCACACCTACATTTTGTGGATCCACATCAAAGCTGCACAAATGCTTTGACACCCTCTGAACTTCTTCACATTGCAAATACAGATTTTTATACATTTTTTTTGGGGGGGCGGATTTAATCTGATAAGAGTCACAGAAA